TCAGCAGGACTAAAAAAAGAAATACAGTAACAATAAAATGTAATCAAAGAAAACTCTAGACACCATTTCCATATCATCACCACAGATGTGTCCCTGCCAGCTGCTGTGGGTTCATCAGATTTCCTGAAAAAGAAAAACTCAATGGCTCTGTTGCTTTTAGATTTGTCCCTATTGGTGTAAGTCACGTTAACAGTGAAAACTGAATTTCCATGTATTTTAGGTAGAAAATACTTCAGAAATGAAATAATGAACCCATAGTAAAGAGTTAATTTAGTTTGCTTCTCATAAACTAGCAAATATAGTGTTTACAAAACCCTCACAGAGTAGCACTGCGTCCAAAACTACACCTCAGTGACTGTTTTCAATTCCCCTCTTTTTTCAATTTCATGATTGCTTTTTCACAGAATAGGCGGATGTCAAAATAGTTGAAACCCCAAAGGTTACAACCTTATCTAAAAGATATTATCATATAATTGTAATCCCTCTTCAACTTGAATTGTCAACAGGTGGAGAGGAACACATGCAACATGTGAACTAGTGACTCTGCCTAACTCCACACTGTTTCCAGCAGTCACAAGCTGTTTGTAGATGGTATCATCTTTGAAATGATAATTGTTATGCACCACAGAGCTTGTAAAACCTTGTTGTGTCCTGTTTTCCAAATTTTCTAGATGCTAGCTCCACACATTGAGTTCTTTAACAGAAAAAAACAGGTTGCTATGCTCACTACTATGACCTTTTTAAAAATAATTTTCCCAAAGCGTGCATGTATAAGTGTGCAGTGTAATAACATGCAGGTAGTATAAATATATGTACAATGTGAATTCATACATGTACAGTACATTTATATGTAGGGAATTTAAAAGTATTTTATTGGTTCTATTGTGTGGCCTTGCAATTGTGAAGGCTGCCAAACAGCAGAGCAAACATAGAAATATTACTGTCAATACTTAAAACTCTATAGAGAAAATGTACTAATTTAATTCACCACACATTACAGGAAAAAGCCGTACCTGTAAATCCCACTTCACAAAAATTGTTGCAACAGATCCCATATTTGTATATCACACAAAACCAACAATTTTATTAATTTCCACTACATAGAGTTATGAAAATCAAGGATATTATTGCAATCAGCATCTACTACAATTGCTATTATTACAATCAGTGTGATAAAGTATCTTTTTACCATATTTGGCTGTGCTGACAATTTCACTGGATTTTACCTTAATGTAGCATAATTAATTTTCTCCATCATTTAAAAGATAATACCGTAAAAAAAAAGCCCTGTTTAAGAAGGATTTAAATAACCATTGGGTAAAGCAAAGGTCAATAATATGACAACATCCCAAATAAGAAAAAAAAGACAAACTGCCTTAAATGTATTTATATGGGCTATACTGTATATAGTTACTGCATATTCTACCTAGCCATTGGTATAGTTAAACTGCAGATAAATGACTCAATGAACCACTAATGATATGCAGGAAAACTTTGCCTCTGTTCATGATTAATAGAAGAAGATAGTTTTGGAAGAGACCTGTCATGATTAAAAGGCTGATCCCTCTGAAAATGTTTTCTGTCTGGCTCTTATGCTGGCCCCGTTTCCTTTAATACTTTAAGTCACTGACCTGGAACAAGTGTGAAGGTAATGACTATTAAGTCATGTACATTCCTTTATTAAAGTCAGGTCTAAAATGTTTAAAAATATTGTTATTTTGTTCAACTAAGTCATGTCAATATAAAGTATTCATTTTCATACTATATACTGTACATACAGATTGAATGACACTTTAGCAGTGACGTATCTCTTATTGGCTCAATCCAAAGTTTTAATCAATGTGATAAAAAAGGCAGGTAGTTATGGGCTGTCTCTTTTACTAACCCATATAGGTCTGGGTCTCCTTGGTCATGTGTTAAATGTACATTTGTAAAAACAAGACCCAATACTATTGTTTCCTTTTAAAGCTGAACTCCAGCTATAAAGATGTATATATACAGTACTAACATTGGTCCAGCTTGGCATAATGTAAGTTTACATAAATAATTACTGGCAGGACCAAGCGGATCCTGTAAAATGCTTTGTAGCTATGACTACTACAGTGCTTTATAGCAAACTTCCATGTCCTGCTATAGCCGCTGTGCTGAGTGACTTACCCTCTACTGTTAAAACACAGCAAGTCACTCAATCAGCACAGCAGCCATTCAGAAAATTCCTATTGTTTTTATAAATTGAATACTTAGGGGGTTATTCACAAAGCTGCCGAAGGCAACCTAGTGAATAACGTTCGGCTATTCACTACGGCTCAGTGCGGCTGATTTCAGCCATACCTGGGCTGAAATTAGCCGTACATCAGCTGCCTTTGGTCAGCCGAACATGCTCTGCATGTTCGGCTGAGCCGAAGTGCAGAAGGACTTCGACTCAGCCGATCCAACATCTTGATCAGCTGAGCCGAAGCTCCGGCAGCTCCCTTGCTGCCATTCGCCCCTATTCTCATAGGGGCCAAACAGCAGTGAGTGAATAGCATTTGGCTCAGCCATTCTGCTCGGTACCTCCGTGGTACAGAGCAGAATAGCAAATCAGCTCCCTTGCTGCCATTCGCCCCTATTCTCATAGGGGCCGAACAGCAGTGAGTGAATAGCATTTGGCTCAGCTATTCTGCTCGGTACCTCCATGGTACAGAGCAGAATAGCAAATCAATGAGAATAGTTTATAAAAAAAAGTTTAAAAATAATTTTAAAATGTAAATACATTTAGAAATGTAAAAAGACATAAAGATTTTATTTAAAAATAAAAAAATAATAAAAAAACAGCTAGCTCCATCCAACTGTTTCCTATTGGCCGGCACCTGCTAGAGTCTTCTGGCAGTTCCCTGCCAATGAATAACAACAGTTATTATTGTTTAATGACAGTTCAGCGTCCCCAGGTCATTTGCAGGGCGAAAGGCCGGCAATCTGCTGACCGTTTGCCCAGCTTCGGCTGACACTTGGGTTCGGATGAGCCAAAGCAAATGCCTTCGGCTCGAGCTGAGCCCCTCGACCACCTTTGGGTGCTGTAGGGGCTGTAGTGAATAGCCCCTACAGCAGCCCATTGGTTCGACTGAACCAAAGGGCTCCCACAACCGAAGCTAGCCGAAGGATCAGCCAAAAGCTATGGCTGGATCCTTCTGCAGCTTTTGTGAATAGACCCCTGGGTGTTCTCTAATTGGATCAGTGGTAGTGATGACACAGTACCTCCCCTTATCCAATCACAGAATGCTTAGTATCTGTGGCCCTGCCAGGGATAATGTATGTATACTTACATTGTGCCAAGCTGGACCAATTTAAATAAATATACATCTTTAGAGCTGGGTTCAGTTTTAAGAAGTGGGATAGTTTGATGTACTACATTTATGCAGAGCAAAAAACAGAAGCCATAGAAGGTAGTGTTTACCCTCTGTATGTGTTTCAGAACTTTCATTAGGTTTGACTTGAAGGTAGTTTTAGAAGTATAAAATTATTAAGCAGCTTTATATATCTAACTTAGAGGTCTACTAATAACCAAGTCACAGAGCCAGTCACCCTATGAATGTTTGCCTGTATTTGAACCTTCATTCTGTGCAAATAGAGGCAAAAATAAATGTATGTAATATAATACTGAATTTGGGCCACTTGATGTAGCTGAGGAGCATAGGAAATATGTATTTATTTCCTATACAGGATACTTACAAAACTAAACATTGTGACCATTAACAGTAGTGATATTAATAATAGTAATAGAAAAATAGAAATTTGATCAATTTTTTATGGGAACCTAAAAATGTTGTTTCTAATAGTACTTTATAAATATGGTATTCTAACAAGGTTTACAGTATAAAAGTAAATTTTTATTTGTATTATGAATTAAATTTATTAAAAGTAAGCAAAAAATGTTGAATGAATAATCTAGAGATTCAGTTATATGGTTACGGCTATGATTCCCCTTTGAGGGGTGTAGAAATTATATTTGTCTTTGGACAATAGGAAGCTATTGGGCAGAGCTATCTGTCACTGCTAGCTCCGCACCATCGTTTGCTATTTACTTTTTTAACTTTTTTCACTCTTTTTCTGTTCTGCTCGGTACCTCTGAGGGACCGAGCAGAACAGCCGAGTCAAATGCCGCTCGGCGGCATTCGGCTATTCACTCACTGTTGTTCGGGATCTTTAAGAATAGCCCGAACAGCAGTGAGTAGCCTGCCGGAGGTTCGGCTCAGCCGATCCAGATGTTGGATTGGCTGAGTCGAACTCCTTCTGCACTTCGGGTCGGCCGAACATGCCGAGCATGTTCGGCCGACCCTAAGCCACACAATGCAAGCCGCTGTACGGCTGATTTCAGCCGATGTACGACTGAAATGAGCCGTACCAGCCTGAAGTGAATAGCCGAACAGTGTTCGGCTCACTTCACTTCAGATCGGTCATTCACTCGGCTGCCCCCGGCAGCTTTGTGAATAGACCCCTAAGTAGTCATGCATTTTTAAAGTTGCAGGTATGACATTTACCTAACATTCTCTGCAAATTAATTAATCACTGTAATCAAAAGCCAACATTTACAGATGAAATTAATGTTGTAATCCCATATTCTGATCTAAAGTACTGGATTTGTTAGCAATACCAGCAATTATGAGGTAGCCTAGAATCGGCATTATTATAATCACCATTATTACAAAAACACAAATATGTTTGCCTAAACTCACTGTTACTATGACATTTACTTTACACCATAAAAATGGCACCAGATATTTGCACTGCTTCACAAGAATAATATTGCAAAATCTAAATCTTGTTTTTTGCCTTGTGATATATATTCAGGATTTGTTGTATCTGGCTATTCTATTCATTATTTACCTTATTATACTGTTTATAAAAGAGTGCTTTATATTTTGATTTATATTATTAAAGGAACATATTTTCCATTATGAAAGTCAAAGACCTGAGAGAGGACGTGGCAGATGTCCTTTTGACCCAGATTCTTCTGTTACATCAATAATGACAGGTAATTGTGTTGTTTTTTTTTTACCTTTTGCACTCTTTTTTTACTCAGACTTGAATAAATATATACATAAAATAGATAACATATAAAGGCAATGACTAAATACAAAATGTTTTTTTGCAGTTTTAATATAAAGATAATGCAAATTGTTTCTAGTGCATGTCCACACGGGTGTGGATTCTTACATGTGCACTGTATAATCTATTTAATGTAAAAAAAATCGGATTAATTCTCCCCTCCTATCTGGAACCAATGATGATTGCCTAATTTACCAGATTGTATGGCATATGTGTAAGAACCACTCTATATTCAGCAAATGGGCACATTACATACAAATAATAATATTAAAAATAATAATTATACCAGAGTAAACTAGGATGATAAACCTTATTGATAAGTACTGGCCTAGCCTATAGATGACATCTTGAAGAAACACCACTCTGTACACAAAGAATGTCTATTTTGTAGAGTTACAATGTGCTATTTCAGTTTTCGTACCAGCCTGAAGTGAATAGCCGAACAGTGTTCGGCTCACTTCACTTCTGATCGGTCATTCACTCGGCTGCCTTCGGCAGCTTTGTGAATAGACCCCTATGTTTCAGTTACTAAAATGTTTTATTCTTGAGGCCGAGAAAACACTATTTGTCTTTCACACAGAGTCATAGAATTTAGCAGATATAATCTAGAAAAATGTTCGGACTTATATTTATTCATTTAGTGAAACATTCAACTGGTTATATAGAGTCTATAAAATATAGACACATCATTGTTACTTTGAAATGTATCTTTTATTTTATGTTTTACATATAAAAAATGCGCAGATGTTCAATGTTTTATATGTACCAAAGAACTCCCTCCCAGTGTGACTGAATATGGCCTTTACAGCAGAACAATAATCCTTTGTGTATGTTTGGTTGAAATATGTGCTAATATGCCTACCCACATAAACTTGTCATCTACACTACTCCAACAGCCACAAGTCTGAACTGTGGTTTATAAGTCCAGTGAACCATGTTCTGTGGACTTTCTTAAAAAAAAATATAAAAATAGGTTTGATCCTACACACCATAAACTACATGTGCTGTCATGTCAGTACATTAGTTGTCTAAGGTAACTAAGAAATTGTTGTTTTTACAAATTTTATGAATACAATATATACAATTACAACTGTACTGTATATATATATATATATATATATAT